GCTTGGATGCGGGAAAGTGCATCGGCGACAGCGTCGTGCACATAGGAGACATGTCGTATATCGGTCGTAAACTGAGCGATATAGTAAAATTTGCGCCACTCTCTAGGAGAGTATTGGTTGGCATTCGAGCCGAGCACTTTAGTCAGGGTTTGTGGTCGGTGAAGACGACAAAGTAGCGGCCTGCTAGGACGTGTCGAAAGTGATGTATCACTAGATATACGTGTAGTAGTTCTCTACCCAACGTGCTGTAGCGAGGTTCGGTAGGTTGTAGGTGTTTGAAGCAAAACGCCAAGGACTGCAACGTGTTGGCTACTCGTTGCTGCAAAACAGCGCCTACTGCGACATCCGAGGCGTCAGTACTGAGGGACACTGGAGTGGCCGGATCGTGCTGCCCTATAGAAGCTATGTTGGCCATAGCCTCTTTTAGGGACTTAAAAGCAGCGCGTGATGCGGCAGGAAATTCGAATTTCTTAAATTTTCTTCGGAGTAGATCCTTGAATAGTTACATCAGCGAAACGCAATTCGGTATGAACCGTCGGTAAAAGTTGCCAAGCCTATCAAATCCCCTGAGCTGTTTAAAAGAATGAGGCTCGGGTTAGTCAAAGATGTCTTGAATTTTATCCTGCAGTGGCAAGGCGCCTGCAGAGGAGATACGATTGTCTAGGAAGTTGACTGAATCGACACCAAACGAACACTTTTCTGCGTTGATCGTCACCCCGTGTTGAGATGAACAATCAAAAAGTGTTCGTACGTGGCGCGTATGCTCCTCGTGAAGAGCTTGCAATTAAAATGTCATCGAGATACGCGTAAGCGAAGTCTAAATAGCTACAAACTTGGTCGATGAAGCGCTAAAAAGTTTGTGCCGCCTTCTATAGACCAACGGTCATGCGCAGAAAATCGAACAAACCAAATGTATTCGTCATGGCAGTATAAGCGATCTCCGCTTCGGATACCGGAATTTGGTTGCATGCGCGTGCCAAGTCAATTATGGTGAAGACAATTTTACCCGCCAGACTGGCGGTGAGATCCACTATGTGTGGGATCGGGTAGCGATCAGGCGCTGTAAGCGCATTCATATTTCGATAGCCGCCGCAAGGTCGCCAGTCACCCATGACCTTCTTCGGGACAATGTGCAGAGGTGACGCCCATGGGCGGTTGGAAGGTCTGACAATACCGAGCTGAAGCATGTGGTCGAATTCAGCTCGCGTTGCACGTAGTTTTTCAGGAGCAAGCCGTCTTGGTCGTGTGCCAACTGCCTGACCAAGTGCGACTATGTGATGAGCGACCTCTGTCGTGACTGGCGGAAGCTCAGCACCTGGTCGTACCAGTCGCGGGTATTCGGACAATTGGTTTGCTTAATGTGATAGTACATAGGCGATTCAAAAAGCGGGACTGATTATCGGGGCGTGCGTAAGAACGCCTTCAACCCCCAGGTTGCTACTGTCGTCTAAAAGTCTGTGGCGACCAGCATCAACAAGCAACCCAAAATGTCGGAGGAAATCGATACCAATAATTGCGAAGGGTACAGACGCAACCATAAATACCCACTGAAAATCTCGGGGAAGATTGAGGTCCAGGTTCATCATGCGCTGACCAATTGAAGCTATCGGAGACCCGTTGGCCGCAAGCAAATTGTACGTAGACCCTGAGTGCTTGTCGTTAGCGGTCGCTGGGATGACGCTGACTTCCGCTTCCGTATCGGTGAGGAATATGATGGAAGAACGTCGTTTCTTAACGTAAAACACTCGGTTTGCTTGGTTATTGAATGATACGTTTGTAAAGCTAGTAGGTGGGTGATTCGTTTTCTCTGAGGCAGCTGGGTCGTGCCTAATGCAGGGAGCCCGAAAACGTCTAGCGCTTCTAACGTATTGGCAGTGATACCAGCATAGTTCATCGACGCGTTCGACATTATCTGACTGAAAACTTGTAGGGCGAATGCTGCGCTTTCGTGCAAAACGAGACGTACTCGGTGCAGGCACAGATGAGCCGCAATGAACGGTAGCCAAAACTTAGTCAGGTTTTGACCGTGGCACACGCTGCTCCGAAGCCTTCATTGCTATTATCCTGCTACGAAGTAGCGCAATTTCCTCGTCTTTAGGGTCAGGTCGGCCTAACGACTCGGGACAAACATGAGATTCGGTTTTCATCGGTGATCCCACGTCACCGGAGCTAGTGGTCCTCTGCTGCGAAAACCGTTCAAAAGCAGTGTCTGCCTTGGTAGCTAATTCTTTCAGGGTGTACCTATAAACCTGGACAGCAATACCAGCAAGGGCTCTGGGAGGCGTGTAAACTATAGCTGCTTTATCCCTCCTCCGCTCAAGAATAAGGGACCAACGATGCGCTGAAGTTCACGGAGCAACGCCGGCTGCTTGCGATCTCCATGCTTGATAGCATTGAGCTGTTCCAATCGAGCTCGTGCGTTGGGCAGTAGCTCTTTTAATATCGCTTGCTTCATCGTTTCATACTTTGCGTCATTTGATGGGCAGAGTTGCATGTCCGCAATCAGCATCACCACCGACAAAGGAAGGCGTGGGACGAGCTGATTTTACCTCGGACAGTCCGCCGTAATGCCTTTATTTTACAGTTTGATCTCGATTATCCTTAACCACACATCTGGGCTGTGTTCCATGAAACTTGGAACAACCAAAGTAAGCATGGTTACGATATAAAACGACTCAGATGCCACACTCGAAATGTGCGTCGAAAGATAATGGATGAACAAAACCACGAAAGAGGTACCAAAATTACACAAGCAACAAATGAATATAGGTATATAATCGAGAAAAAGGAACGAACTCAACAAAAGCTAAAAACGAGAATAATAAATCAATGTGCGCATGCGAATCGGCGTCATCAATTTGTAGGACTATTTAATACTAGTCCGAGACGGTGCGCGAAATAAGGCGCGGATATCAGAATGCAATTGGAGTCGGACACAGCGGACTGTATTCGATGGGTTACAATAAGAAGCGGAAGGATGAAGCGAGAAGAGCGTACGGCAGTGCTGGAACACACTGTGGAGAAAAATGGGGAGCCGGGTGCGGTTCATAATAGCCGTAGAGTCGGCGTTTAAACAAAATCCAATATTGTATGAATGAGTAATAAAAGTGTACATAAAACAAGGAATAAGTTTTGGGTTGCTACAACAGTTACACATTAATGGGTTTTCACTGTTTGCTTCATCAATTGTGCAGGTGTGGCCGTTTCTCTGCTAGTCGGTGCCTCCAGTTGCTACCGCTTCTTTTGTTGTTGGTTTGTATTTCAGACCGGGTACACCGACTAATGTGAACCGTTTACTAGCACTAGTGGTTACGTTGTTAACTAACACGATTTTTGCAGGCGTTCTTTAAACGGTAGGGTGAAACCAAACCCTTGTGGATACCCACAGTAACCTGTTACACGCTGGCCCCTCATACACGAAGAGCACTAAGGTGCATTTGAAGTATGTAAGTAGGGACAAACGCAACCAGCTAGGTTAGTATGTCTGCGGAAAGGTCATATTTTCATACCACAACTGCCGGCTTCGAACAGACAGAAATTTCCGTACACGCAGTCGCATCAACTGACTACTTTTTGCGCACTTGCCGATGGATATGGAAGCTCAATTTCCGATTGATTGTATGCGTGCTGTTTGTTTACATGTTAGGAGGCGTATGATATCATCGTGTAATACAGCACCAGCCGATGCGGAGTTCCGCTCAGAGTTGACAATTTAATTTATCTAAACGGGTTTCTGGACAAAGTTCACAATCAACAGCCGCGTGAATGCCCGAGGCGAGGCAGAAGCAGCACCAAGTTTTGTTGGTGGAAAGCAGCTAAATTAGGCAAACTTTTAACTAGGTGGGTCCCACGTTTCTAGCACATGTGTTGACACAAAAGTACTGCATATGTTACTTAGGTATTGCATCGGAATTCATCTGCCATGCCATTCCTTGTTGGTTAAATTCAGCGTAATGTTCGCAAACGATGTGCTGCTGTTCCTTATAGCAAGGTATTTTACAATTTACTGGTCCGAGTAAATGGCCTTTAGCGTGCATTCTGTATGCTGTCTATCCGAAGATGTAATCAGCCTTGGATCTGGGGAGGAATTCCCAAATATCCGATTTGATTGCTATTTAAGACGTAGTAAGGGGCAAATGCGTAGCACAGTTAACATCATGTCACAGCTAATGCGGCGTTGTATGGACTTGCAAGCGCAGGTCCCTTCCGAAGGGCATGGTGCGTTCAGTTAAGTTGACTTAAGCCGCTAACTTGCTTTCAGTTTACATGACACTGTATCCTCTGCTACCACCCAGAGAAGGTTAGCACAGTTGGTAACCTGCCTCATAATATTCTATTCCTGCACAGGAATGTGAAAGATACAGCACATTTCACTTGCGTAGGTTTCAAAAGATTTGCACGATTTGTACGATCGTTGCATTCCGCTATCGAAGTTACTTATCTAGGTCGCCACTGAGTTAGTTGATGTCGTGAAGCATTTTCCAGTGTCCATATTTTGTGCAAATGCGTCGGTATTCATGTACGTTCCCAAGAAGCAATGGTTTCTCTCTTGTATACGTACAGGAGCAAATGGTAAGTTTAGATCTCTTAGCTGTGTGACTGTTCTGCCTTCTATTTTCTTAGTTCAAATAATGCAACAGCCATTCATTTACACTACCACTGAATACAGTGTCAATCTGCATAACTTGTGTGCTATGCAACTTCACGTGCTTGCTCCCCATAACTGCGTTAATAGTTTCCAAATTTACACGCGTCAGCGTGGTTCCCTTGGCTGATGATGCCTGCGTCTCATACAGCCGCACAACACATGCATATTTTACTGTCGTGTTACAACTTGTGCGTTTCACCCTCGCGAGGCATGTCATTCGTTCGTACGTTGGCGGATCCAGCGTTGTCATTGGACGACAAAGAGGATAGCACGCCTGTAAAAGTATGCAAGTAACAAGCAAATGATTCAATGCGCGCGTTCACCATGTGAAAGATACGTTCGCCAGCGTAGTATGCAGTCCGGCGGCGAAGCTACACAAACAAGGCCCACTCCTAATCTCTCCAATGTGTTCTACGACCATCCGAAATTTTTCGCACTCATGGGGTGAGTCCTCGCACGTGGGTTAGTGCGTTCAGTACCAGAACGAGGTCACACTGTGTAACGTGATACCATATAGTTAAGCGCATAGTCCTTCTCTATGTGCAACACGCTCACGCATGCTAATGCCGCATTACGCAGGTAGCTGACCCTGGACACTTAGTGGTAACTTACCAACATGATGACCTAGACCAGGTTAACACTATGGGCAGCCGTTGGCTGCTTGGGGAGGCGCACTTTTCCTTCATATCCTATATATCAGGCTTCCTTTAACACAAGGCGGTAAGAGCGCACCGCTTTCCAATTTCGGATGGCGTAATGCTGCAAGTTAACTTGATTCATCGTTCAGGTATACAGAGTTTGCACACCATTGTCAGTTAACTTCGAGGACGCACGCTGCGTAACAAACTTGTGGGGTAAATATGGGGAGAATATAAACACCGACTTCACGGTGGCCATGAGGACATCTCCTAAAAGAGTTGTGTACGTACGCATAGGCAATTACTTCATGCGCCTTGTTACCTACAACGTGGGCCACTGCAGGTTTAAGAAACGACCAACGCCCGCTCCGCCCTGGCAGCTTCTGGCAGTTATTCAAATTTCACTCTGGAGCAGTGGGCTAGATTATCACCCTCGGTAAAAAAGGCAGCAAACAAGGAAAGCTTTGAAACTGCCGAACCTTTTATGTGTTTACTAGGTAACCAATAACTCAGAGGATGTAGGGCTGATCGACCAGATAGCAACACACACGACTGACCCTTGCAAGTCAAGTACCGTGTTGTAAGTTGTTTACATTCCTTTAATTAATTGCACTTACCAGCAGATGGTTATAACTAGAGATCGAGCACGCACAAGATATAATTAAATAAATTCATAAATATTTTCTTCTCACGAAAGCTAGGCACGCCTTTTGGGCACGATGGGCATATTGCAATATGTTACATGTTAGCGTGATTAGCAGGACCAAGAGCAGGAGTAGCGCAGATGGAGTCAGTAGTGTGGGCCCACAAGGCCCAGAGATTTTATGGAGTCTGTCTGCGCAGAATGCAAAACGTAGAGCTGAGACGGATCCTCAATTTGGAGTGTTTAGGAGGAACAAGTCCGCTGAGATTGTGTACGCAGTGCGGGTCTGAAGGGTGAAGCATGAGGAAAAAACTAAAAAGGTTTTAGGAATGGTGACACGTAAATGATCAAATATGTATTAATAGTTGTACGAGAGCAGATATATGCACAGTTGTGAAATGGGGTAACGGTCAAATTGCCAGTGAGTGGTTGGGGCAGTGCCTTGATTGCGTGTGACGTCTCATCCGCCACGTCACAGCGTTGTTAAACAGATATTGATGGCTTTTTGTAGGAAGGACGCCTGCCAGGCGGAAACCCATCACTTCCTGGGACACTGCCGGCTGATTTTGTGACATTGACAACATGGCATCTGACAAAGTAACCCCGCGGATATTCGTGGTCAAGTTACGCCAATTGGTTGCTATGTTTGTGTAGTTGTCGCCTTCGGAGTCGACCGCAAGTAGTTGGAGCTGTTAGATTCCGGCAACTCTGGTGACTTGTATTGCTTTGATTAGTTTACTGGGTTCCTTTAGTGTGCGCGGATTACGAAGTGCAGAAGATTTGGTTGTTCTGTGTTGATTCCGTGTCCTGATGAGCGTCGCATAGGTACAAGTGCAATTACGTGTTCAATGACTTTGCTTCGAATAGTTGAGCTCGGCTACAGCAGAGGTGAGAAATAATGTCGTATCATCAGTTGGTACGTTGCGCAAATTTGCGAATGGCATACGCGCCACTGTGGACGCAGTCCGACAGCTAGAATCAAGACAAGAGGCGTTTACGGAAACTATGGAACAATGGAACAATGGAACAATGGTTTATTACGGGTAAAAAAGCGTTGCTTACCAAGTCCCGTAGGATGGAAAATTATTGTGAAAATCGATTGCATGATAAAGGGAAAAGCGTTGTGGTGGACTCACCATAGACTTATGCGGAATAGCGGAGAAGTTCGCGTATGTAACATATGAAACTATAAATCCATTGGTTAGGCGTTTGGCAAGAAACCGTTTGATTGCGTTTCGTAGCTCCTGGCTAACAAGTCATAAAATGAAATGTAAGTGAGACAATGAATCGTCAGCACGTTTTTTAAATATTGCCAGATTGGGAGCAGAGACGACATAATTAGGGAGGGCGTTCCAAGGCTGGCACCTGCGGAGAGAAAAGAAATTTTTGCGGCATTCAATCCGGCTATACTGAATTGTCAGTTTCGGAGGGTGACCTCTTAGTTTTGTGTTGTGGTTCAATTCCAGCAGCGGACGACAAATGTGGTTTGGGTTCTTCAGAATCTGGTAAACCATTATGAGATCCCCCCGCAAAAGCCGATATCGACTGCTGTACATTCTCAGAGATTTCAGTCTAAGCTGATAGGGGACATGAAACAGGCCCCTGACGTTCTTGGTTGCCCGTCGTTGAGGAGTCTCGAGGGCAACGATATCCTGTTTTTGCCACGGCTGCCACCCCTGAATAGCATATTCCACGTGAGGTCGCACGTAGGCGTTAAGCATTTGGGGAAAGATTGAGGGTTCAAACCGACCGATGGCTCTGCGAAGAAGGCCGAAGTGTTGCTTGCCGGTTCCCGTCGCCTTCTCTGCTTGTTTTGAACACCCGAGATCTTCCTGCACCAATACACCCAGGTCACGCTCCTGGGAAACGTTCGCCAAATTGTGGTCTCCAATCTTGTAAGCGCTCACCAGCTGGTGACGCAGATGCATCACTTTGACCATTCGTAAATGCGATCTAAGTCATGTTGGAGCAGATCCTGATCGGACTTGTTACCAACCGCCCGCCATATCATGACATCATCGGCGAAAAGCAGGAAATTTGAGGAGATGCCTCTTGCCAGGTCGTTGGTAAACACCAGGAATAAGCGCGGTCCCAGCACTGAGCCTTGTGGGACACCACATTCCACCTCAATTGGGTTAGAAAGTGATCCCCTAACACGTACTTGAAGCTTTCGTTGGTAAAGGAAGTTGCCAATCCAACCAAGTACAGGATCACCGATTCCGTAACTCTGTAGTCTTTGAAGTAGGATGCGGTGATCAAGGAGGTCGAAAGCTTTGGAGAAGTCCTGATAGATGACGTCGACTCCGACCCCATCATCGGCCACTTCCGTCCAACTACCTCGTGCAATAAGTAGGTTGGTAGTGCATGACCCCCCTGCATGACATCCCTGTCGGTGGCCAGGTGGTACGTTTGTCCCCAGAAGACGAAAGATCTTTCGTTACACATGTACACAGGGACGCAGTTTCTTGCGTTTAAAGGTACATTACAAGATCCAGCCGTCCGACAGCAACTGGTACCAATCTATATGTCATTACTCATTCTTCATTTACGAAGTGCTCCTTGCGTCCACTCCAGACAACAAGCTGGATGACGGCGAGCGATATAGGCTTGACATCGTTTTAGCAGTGCAGCGCCTAAACAAATAAACTCCGCTGGTTTGCAGAAGGCTATTCAATTCAAAAGGATGCAGACATATATTGAGCTTCAGTGTAAGTAGTGTATGCTTAATGTATGTTTCTTCAACTGGCATCATCAAGGTCAAGGCCACAGCCTTCGGTTTGAAAAAGCGTTCGCTCCGCTCTCAGGCCAGTTTTTTCAATATTATTGTGTCATATATTGTTATATCTAGTCGCGGGTTATATAGTTCTATATAATATTTGATTCTGTGTTATCCGGTGATATATTTAGCCTTAATTTTCTCGTTTTTTGTCTTCCCAGCGATATTTCGATCTTAGTGGTAACGTGCCCTTATCCTGTTAGGCCACTTTTATCTCGTTGCTTTTATTGTTATAACAGTGCCGTCCTCTAGTTCACATACTTAATTCTAGCTAGTCATTTAGCGTTATACTTCGTAACTATCGGTATTAATTTATCATAACTTCTGGATCTCTTAATTACACAGATTTGCTCGTATCGATCGTACTTATTTTTAAAATGACGAAGCAGTCTCCTTGTTGCAATTTGCTGCAAGGTCGTCGGACATAGAGCTAATGCAATTTCATGCAGTCTCTGCAGCGCAAGGCTTCATATTTCGTGCGTTGGTCTGACTGTAGACCAATTTCGTATAATTCAGGGCATTAATAGCGAATTTTTGAAGACCGTTTGGAAGCAATGCCAAGCGAATCTTGTGCAGAATCAAACGGACACGTCTAACAACCGGATCAGCACAACGAAGTGCTCTAGAATGCCCAGCTCACCTTGTGCTCCACCACAGTCAGTGAGGCAGCCAACGCCTCATCGCACCCATCGCGGAAACAAGGTACTAAATTTCCATCAGACTCTCCCTCAAGACCTACTATATGTTCAGCTGACAGTAAAGTTCCAATTTGCAACGAACAAATAGAGGATAACGATTGGAGAGTACAAACATCGAAGAAACCAAGACCAATATCTAATGACCTGAGGCGCCGTAGCCTCATGGTCTTTTACGCACCCGAGTCAGGTGATGTTAATCCTCAGGTGCGTTTTGCACATGACGTCGAATATTTGCAATCATTGATTGACAGACTACTCGACGTAAATGAGGACGGACTCAAAGTGAAGCAGATCGCCCGTCTAGGAAAGAGAATGGGGAGCAAATGTCGGCACATGAGGCTGACATTTGTCGAAGAAGCAAGTACCAAGTTACTATTGTCTCGCCTTACTTGGCTGAACGGTCTAAAGATCCACGTGCGCGCTGACTTAGAACCGGCAGACAGAGAAAAACTCAAGTGTGCCATGACTGAACTAAAGCGGCGCACGAAAGATGGAGAAACAAAACTCCGTATTGTAAATTTTCGAGTAGTTGCTCCGGTTCCTCCACGAATCCGGATCAACAGGTTTCTAATACTTCAGGTGCGCCCAGCGGGTCCTACCGCGGTCTGCGCGTAGCCTTTACTAACGTATGCAGTTTGATGAACAAACGCGATGTGCTGTACGACTTCGTAAGCTCTCAGCGACCGGAC